TCTCATTTTGTTGTGCATAGAGTCGCTATGAGTTGGAATCACCTCAAATTCACCTAACAACAACATGTCAAATGTTTTCAGGGAAGTAGGCAAGCATAAACGTTAGCTACTATATGTGATGACGATATACACATAAGAAAAGCTAGGAAAGTTCTATGGCACAGGTGTCCCCACTTCTGTGGTTTGAGATTGCTGAGCTTATCCAATATTGCCTGAGAACACTCTTTACCTTGCTTCTTGCCACCCTATCCACTCATGTGATCATTTCTACCAGTAGTCTAAATGCAAACTGCTAAAGCTGAGTTTTCACATAGTGAAAGCTCTCCCTGTCCTCCAGTTCCAAAAGAGACAGCACAGACCCACTTTTCCTAGTTACTCCATGTGGCGTAAGGCTGAAAATGAAGCTCCAATGTTATGTGCTGCCAGGTATCATACCTACTACTCAAGTGGACTTTAGATTCCATGAGAAAGTCCATTATTCACACATATCAACCATATCCTCCCACAGAAACCAAGGAACATCTCCTTGATACTACAAAGCCTACCTCCTGAAGCCCCTGGTTCTTCATTGTTTCCCACTGCAACCCCCATGTGGCTCTATGGGGTGTCCTCCTCCACTGGCCTTGGGTATATGTGGTAAATAAAATCAATTTCAAGCACTGAGTGTCAGATGTGTGTTCATTCATCTCCATAGTCCTAAAGTGAAGTCTCCTCTCACCAACAAGGTGACCAGGAGATGGTTAACAGACTCCCCTACAAATACAACAAAAATCTCTGGAAATAATTCAATACAGGGTCATAAAAAGACTCTAAAATGTGGAAAGGGGGTAAGTGCACTGGCCAGAGACAACCTCTAAGGCAGTGGTTTCTTGGGTTTTATTTTTGACTCTCCTAGATCTCAGACTAAGCCTTGGATAGGCTTCAGACATGGAACACCCACTATGCCCAGGCCAGAAAATAAAAAAGTGAAAGAAAAGCCTGCTGCTCGCTCCAATTCAAGGACTAGAAAGTGGCAGCCCATCAAACACTTAGCAGAGAGTTCCATCTCTGTGCACTCCCCAGTGACTGCCAGCAACAGGAGAGCTTATTCCATTCAAAGCAGTGGCCTCAGAAGAGACCAGACAAGGAACCTAATGGTCTGTTCTACCCACCACAGGCAACAGTAGGCCTAGCATTCCCTCTCTACCCAGCAACAGAAGGTGAGGCAGGTCCATTGTCTCCAACAACCCAGAAACAGAGAGCAGCCCAGGTAGGCCCTTTTCTTCTCCGGCAGCGCTGGCATCAATTGAACAAGAAAACCACCAGCACTTAGAAATGTTCTTGTTACATACCCAGCATCCTCCATCCCACAACTAGATGAACCAAGAAGTCTAAGGATGTGCTATTCACCCCTGTGGGCAACACAATCAAGAATACAGTGGGAGGAAAGAAAGAGTTCCCACTGAATAGCTATCATCTTGTCTAGATGGGTCTGGTGAAAGGAGATGTGGATAAGATTCGTAAGATTCAATAGTGAATAACTGTTATCATGATTAATCGCGACTGTCACAATTATAAAGGTAGAATAAATGTCTTTTTTAAAAAAAAAAAAAAAAACACTATGCAATGCAGTTGAGAAAAATACTGAAGAAGTCAGGAAAGTGCTACAGGAACAATCAAGTAAGATAGATA